TATATATATATATATTCTATCGGTTCTATTTCTCTAGAAAACCCTGACTAATATATTACTGTACCATCATCAAGAATTCTCAAATCATTCAATCAGAGTTTGTTTCTGGTTCCCAAAAGGAAGCAAACTTCACTTAGCTTTTCTAGATGCAGTGGATAGCACACGTTTAGCTTTTATTTGTTTTTATTACGGTAGCACCTGCAACTGTGTTAAACTCAGAAATCCATCTCTCTTCCACAACACTGTGCTCTTCCTGGATACATCTCAACAAATAAACACAGACTGAGTAACAAAACAGCTTGAATTCTGAAATGTGAATTTTCAGAATAATTTCTAGACACTTCCAATTTATTCATCTACATAGTTTTTAAATGGCTCAAAACTTTGTTTTCTCATTTCCTTAATGCCAGTCAAAGAGAAACACCTGTAAAGCAATATGCAAAGCTATACCTACATAGACTGTAAATACATAAACTCTGAATATGTAACAACATAATGGCCTGAATCATAAGTAAAATGTATCCACCATTATTTTTTCTTTGAATGTAAATTAATATTGTTAAATTTAACCACTTAGCAATACAAGCATCTGCTATTATATGATAATCATTAACAAATGACTGGTAGAATATTTACTATGCAATTCTTTCCAAAAATTTGCCTGGTAATCACCTGTTACCATGTATAGAACTGGAAAAAGTCTGAATGCAACTAAGAAAACATCGTATTACAATACACATTTGTCAGTATATTGCACTCAAACATTTATAATTACTATATGTGCCTTCAGTGAAACTTTGATCCTTCACTGTGAAATTTATTTCCTTCCAAAATTACTGACAACATTACCTCTCAGTCCTTTCAAGAACTAGACTTTCATCTGTCAATACACAAAGAGAACCAGTTGAAAATAAGCCATGTCCACAAAGTTCTTAGAGTAAACCGTAGTAACTTTTCCTCCTTTATTTTATTTAAGTTTAAATCAAAATTATCATTCATGATGTACTTAAGGATGTTATAGTATTTTAAAACTCTGAATGGAATCAGGCTAGTGTTGAATGACTTTAAATCTAGCAATCTGGAGGTAGAGGCAAAAAGAACTCTGAATTTGAAGCTTACCTGGTTTACAGAGTGAGTTTTAAAAAAAGGTGGAGCTACACAGAGAAAATGTGTCTAAAAATTAACTATAAAAAAGTAAAAAAGTAAAACTCAGCATGCTTTATAAGATAGCAGATACTACATTATATATATATATATATATGTATATATACACACACAAGCTATAGGTATATAATATATAAGCTATATATATAAAATATACAAACCATATATAGTTTGTATATATATAGTTTTGAATAATCTCTGATTTTTATATTTTTTTCTAGAAAAGAAAGGTATAATAGCTAAAAAAAATTAAAAGGCTTAGAATCTATTCATAACAGTATAAAATGGGAACAGCTGAGGTATACATCAACTGGTAAATGAATAATGAAAATATGACACACATGTACAATGACATTTTATTCAGCTATTAAAAAAAGGAAGTTATGAAATTTTCAAGTAAATGGATGTAACTGCAAATAATCATCATCCTGAGTGAGGTAACTCAGACCCAGGAAGAAAAACAGCATATGTTGTCTCTCATGTGTGAATCCAGTCTTTGAATTTTAGATGTATATGTTTAAGTTAGAACACATATAGAAGTCAGAAAACTAGAAGGGGGCCATTGTGGGGATAGTAGAACACAGGCAATGGAAAGAGGGAATAGGGAAAATGTGGTGAGAAGATTTAAGTGGAGAGAGAGATGAGAGTACGCAGGATAGAAGAGGTACTGGGAGGGATAACTAAAGCTAAACATCTTGGAAATGTTGTAGGGAAATTCAATGTTTTCAAAGCTTTATATATATATACAATATATATACTTATATATATACACACATATATGTGTGTGTGTATAGATGTATGTGCACATCTATATATGTGTATGTATGTTTATTTATTTATTTATTTATTTATTTATTTATTTACAGGACATAGAAAAATTTAGCTGTTACTGACCTGAAAAAATTAATCTTTAACACCGAGACTTGATAGAACCACAGTGGCATTTGCAGGATTCTGGGGGAGAAAGGTCAACAACAGTCTTAGGCAGCTCTCAATCCTGTGAGCTATAATAATAACCGGCCTGGCAAGAAATGTCCATTGGTCAATAATGACATGAATGCTACAAGAGTAACAAACCACTTTCTGGCTTAACATAAAACCTCTTCCACAAGAGACTCAGGCTTGGTGCTATTAACTGACCAAAGAGTCTGTGCCTGGATACTACATAGGCTATAGGGCAAAACTTACTACTATCATTTTACTAAAAATACTCGTTATTAAACCACCTTGTATATACTTAATTTTATATAAACAGACTAGTGAATCCCTCTTGCCTAATTAGAGAAAGTTTTTACTGCAGTACATTGTGATTAATGCAGACTCAGAAACAGTCCGGGTGAAGAGCATAAGAGACTGTGGAGTGCTCAGACCTAAATGGCATATCTATATTACACCTATCCCTTTAAGGTTCAGCAATCGCCACAGTAATGAGCAGGGCAATTATTACAAGCCAGAAATTGCAGATCTGAGGAATTGGTATATAATATCCAAACATGAAAACTCACTGTTATTAATTTATTACACCTAGACCAATTACAAATCTCGGTATTAACCATTACACATTACAAAAAGAAGGTATTTTTTTTTTAAATGAACAAAGGTTGTTGGTTTTTGTTTACTCTTTTGGGAGTTCTGCCATCTAGCTGCCAAATAAATCACACAGGGAGACTTATTCCTCATTATAAATGCCAGTATTTAACTTGTCTTGTTTCTTGCCAGCTTTACTTAACTTTAAGTTATCCCATCTACCTTTTGCCTCTGGGATTTTGCCTTTGTCTTACTTCTGTATGTCTTACTGTTATTCTTACTCCATGGCTGGTGGTATGACTGGGTAGCTGACCCCTAGTGTCCTCCTCTCTTGTTCTCTTGACCCATCTTCTCTTTTCCTCCCAGATTTCTTTGTCTGTTTATTCTCTCTCCCTGCCAACCCTTCCTACCCTTTCTCCTGCCTCACTGTTGGCTGTTCACCTCTTTATGAGACCAATCACATATTTTATACAGGTAAAGTAGCATGGCTTCACAGAGTTAAATAAATGCAACATAAATGAATGCAACACATCTTTGCATCCTTAAATAAATGTTCAAAGCATAAACAAATGTAACACATTTTAAAATAATTTTCTACAAACAACAGTTTGGCTTACAAGGAACATTTTTAAGCACCTGACACAATTATAAATTTATGATTTTAGTCTGAAAATTATACTTTCACTAACATTTGTTGTTCTTAATGATTTGTAATTTTACCATGTCTATTCTTTACTTCTTGTATAAAAAATCAATTCAGTACTATATGTGTATCAAGGCAGAGAGTATGTGTTAACATTCAAATCTGAAATGAAATATTAACATTTTAGAAAAAGATCATAAATAAATGTTATCTAACACAAGAGTCCATGTTTACATTTAGAAGAAATATGACAGACTAGTGATTATGGTAATATGACTTTATTCTTAGAAGTAGAGATAGAGGCAAGTAATTATTGTAGTTTGCCAGATTCCTAGCTGGGAAAGACTGATAATTTCTCTTCTCCTCAGTTAACCTATAAATCACATACCAGAGCCATGAACATTAGTCAGTGGGAGTAGAACTAGATATCTCCACATTCCATAATAAAAATATGTGGTATCTTCTTCAATGAGGTCTTACCATCAACTTGTAGTTGTAAGAAGAATTGCTAAATGATCATATTAATAAAAAACCTGGAGCCAGATATTGGAGAGAAACAGAGTAGAGAAGCAGAAAGAAGCCAGGCACATTCTTACCACTTAGAAATCACCAGCCAAAAGAGATACCTATCTGCTATATACCCACATCTATATGACTTTCTTTCCCTGCCATATCATTTCCTCTCCCTGTCCAGCTACATCAATTCCTCTTTCTGCCCAGCTCTGTCACTTCCTGTCTGTCTGTACAGACCTCCAGACCTCCATGGTTAACTACTATTGGGATTAAAGGAGTATGCCACCATTCCTGGCTTTGTTCCCAGTGTGGCCTCTAGGATTAAGGGCATGTGCTACTACTGCCTGGCTTTTGTGTTTAATATAGTGGTTGGCTTTTTTCTCTGATCCTCAGATAAGTTTTGTTGAGGTACATGAACAAAATATCACCACATTTCACCTTTATTTCTCTAAAATAAAAAAAAGTTATAACAAATATAAGAAATGCTATATAAAATAAGTACAATAACCATATTCAATATATACAGGCAATAAATAAATCAGCAATGTCTAGTTCATTTAGATTTGACAAATTCAGAGGAAACATTCCATTATCTATCCGATTTTAGCTAATCCAAAGAATTGTATCTTATTTACCTTCTATCCTAATTTGCATTACAAATACTATTTTGATGTCTTTCAAACTTATACACTTTATACCTCTTTAGTGAGTTTCTTTTATAAAATTGTTAACAAGGAAAACTCTAACTATCTAATCTTCAACTCCCTCAGAGACCCAAGAAGGAAATAATACTACCTAGTTAAGCAGGAAGTGCAAACAAGTGACTTCCAAAAAATAATGTGAATTATGACAGAAACAGCTATGTGCCTGGACAGTCATCCAAGATTTCTCTGCAATGTTGGGGTATCATCTTTGGCCTACAGGCTTGGCATATCTGATAAACTCATCTGTGAAGCAGGATTTCCTAAAAAACCTTCCTACCTTGTCTTGACAAGGATTGGCAGTCTTTTGTATTGTGTCCTGTGTGTCCATTTTGGACAGCATACTGTCAGGAGTCATTGCAAGGGCACTTTCTTGCCCAGTAATTAACGTTTGCCACAATGAACGTAAACTCCATATGGAGTTTCTTCAATATCCATCATCTTCTCTGAAGTAGATTGGTGCTGCCAGGAGCAGACATGTCTCATAGTCAGGTTTTCTTTCTTTTCTTCAATTCTGTCCCAAGCATTGAGGGCTGTCATTTGGCATAAAATTAGAGTGTGGTCATCATATAAAGATTGTCTTTGTATATCAGCATGATCACTTTCTCCAAAAAGTTGATCCTGGGAAATTTCCATACCTCTAGTCCTACATCATTGTTCCATAGTCTTAGCCTCCTCTTTCCACCAGGTTGTCTATTGTAACTGTGGACCAGCCTCTAGGACTGCTGTATCCAAATCTTCCCAGCCCTGAGGGATAATTCTATTACAATTTGTCCACAAGTTTAAGACCTGCTTTAAAAATGGAGAATAGAATGTATACCATATGAGACCATAGCTTCTTTAAATCTCCTCAAATCTAGCATTTCCACTGGAGTCCAGTTAGCTAATACAAACCTTGAGCATTTGGCAGTTCCTATAAGGTTACTGGATAGATTAAGGTTGGTTGTTTGAAAACAGGCTATTTCTCTGAAACCATATAAGTCAATGCTAAGATAAATTCTCCTTTAAATTCTTGTGTAGGTTTTAATTTCTTTATGATTTCTTTTAACTAGTTTTTTCTAAAACTTACCTTGGCACTCAAATTAATCAACCTTTTCAATGCTAAAATTAAAATGATGAAAGAAATAATATTCCTAATTGACATTATGTAAATTTCATTAACATTAATTATCCTCTCATTTAATTGTTTCAATTTCAGACTGCCTAATGTGTCATCAAACAGAGACCAAATTCCCACCATTGTAAAAATGTTTCCCATTGTTTAATGTGGGAAAAAATATTCTCTTTTAACTAATCCATCCCTTTAAGATATCTTAATTAACTCACTAAGTCTGCTGACTGTGTAGAACAGTAGAAACCCACCAGGAAAGAAGAAACCAAAGAGACTCTAGCTTACATGTGGTGGAAACTCTGGCCAAGTGTAGTTCGGTCCTGAGCCATGCAGCTGAAGTCTGAGTCCGGGACCTGTAAGGATACAGGCAAGCAGCTTTTTCTAGGAATTTGTGCCAAAAACATTAGAGCACCAAATGTAAGATGAATTGTTTGTTTGTTTGTTTGTTTGCTTGCTTTTTTGGTTTTTTGAGACAGGGTTTCTCTGTGTAGCTTTACGCCTTTCCTGGAACTCACTCTGTAGCCCAGGCTGGCCTTGAACTCACAGAGATTGGCTTGCCTCTCCCTCCCAAGTGCTGGCATTAAAGGCGTGTGCCACCACCACCCAGCCCAAGATGAATTGTTAAATGGTCTTATTAATAAAAAAGAAAAAACTGGAGCCAGATATTGGTAGAAACCACAGATTAGACTACTAGCAATAGTGGAGAGGTGCCTGAGCTGGCTTACCCCAGTAATCAGATTGGTGAATACCCTAACTCTCATAATAAAGCCTTCATCCAGTACTAATGGAAACAGATGCAAAGATCCACATCAAGGCATCAGGCTGAGTTCTAGGAGCTCAGTCAAAGTGAGAGAAGAGGGAGTCTATGAGAAGTGGCATCAAGATTATGATGGTTCCAGAAACCTACAGTGGCAACAGAACCAAGGTGGTGGGAACTCATGAAATTCAGTCCAACACCTGTGGAGCCTACATGGGACTGGACTGGGCCCTCTGGATAAGTGAGACAGTTGTGTAGGTTGAGCTTACGGAGCCCCCTAACAGTAGGATCAAGATCTGTCTTTGGTGCATGAGCTGGCTTTTGGAGCCCATTACCTATGGTGATAACTATGGTGCATAGCTTTGATGCAGGGAGTGGGACTTGGACCTGCCTCGGCTGAATGGTTTGTATTGGCTGTCTATGCCTGAGCATGTGGCCTGCCTGAGAATGTAGTTGACATAACAATTGTCATTTCATTGACAAAACTGATTTTTCCTCTCTTAGAAACCATCAATTGCAAATAATTTCTTGACTAGAGGTAGGATATGCCTCCCACTTTTACTCCTTGTTGCAATTTGGTCTGCATGAGCTCTTGCAGAAATTTAAAGATGCTGCCACACTCTCTGTGATTTCATTTGTCTCCTTTCGATGCTCTTTCTGGAAAACATTGATATCCTACCTATGCACAATTGAGTACTCAGA